TCATGTATCGTTCTTTGTGCTTTCATTGTGGATATATCTGTATCAGGGCCGTTCAAATAAAAATTGGGGCCCTGTGCAATATCATAATTTGGGCCCTTTTTTCATAAGTAATTTCTATATATAAATAATAGTTACGCTGTTCAAAAAGTTGTATCAACATATAAACATTGCATAAAAAATACATCTAAAATTTTATTTAAAAAGTGACACGCGTGCACATTTAGACGCAAAATCATCTACCAAACTTTTGATATCAACTTCTTCCAAAAGCTCATTTTCAATGGAGATTAAAGCTAATCCGCTGAGTCTCTCTTGCAACATACTTTATCGTAAGTAAGATTTCAACAATTTCAACTTCGAAAAACTCCTTTCTGCAGAGGCAACAGTAATTAGGATAGTCAATAATATTCGATATGCAATAGTAGCATTTGGAAAACAACCCATCTGTTTCAATGAATTCAATATACTCAGTGCACCTATCTCTTCTTTTTATAAAATCTCTCTAAGCAATTTTAGCTCCAAATACAATTCATTTCTATCAATATCACCACAGTGATCATCTCTTTTAAGAGCTGCTTCTAAACAAGTGCAACAAGCCTTCAAATTGATATCAGTCATCGATTGTAACTTGTCAGAACTAAACAAAAAGTCAAAAGTTCTTTCATATACTTCATATTGCTCAAACCTCTGGGTCAATGAGATAATAGCTTGATCTACAATGTATAAAAAATAATGAACCCTAAAAGATTCTTCAGGTGATAATGAAGTGTCATCAACACTCTCATCCAATTGTCTTTTTCTACGAATTTTTCGCTTTTGAGAAAACACTAGCTCAATTTCTAATTCATTGGCAATTTTCTTATGGCACTAGAAAAATCATTTTCTCTATAATTCTTGAAGAAAGAAACTAACCCTTTAATTTGATTAATAGCAACATCAAGACGCATATCTTTTGTTTGTAATTGCTTGCTAACTAAATTAAACGCATATAAGATTTCAAACCAAATGACTGTCGTTAGCAAAAATTCAAAGTTACTAAGCTCATTTGTAGCTAAAGATCTTGCCTCACTTTGAATTTTAGAATCACTGTCTGTATCTGCCACTTGAAGTAGGGCTTCTCGAATATCACTGACTTGATATCTAATTGCTTTGACACTTTCCACGCGACTTTCCCATCGAGTTGATGACAATGGCTTAAGAGTTAGATTTATTACATTACTTTTCAAGATATGCCACCTCTTTGTGGAATTAGCAAATATTGTGTAAATATGTTGCACTACTCCAAAGAAATCTCTTGCTTTCCCACAACTGTTTGCAACGTCACATAAAGTCAAGTTAAGACTATGACTACCACAAGGAGTATAAAATGTTCTACGATTTACATCTAAGAGTCTTTTTTGTACACCTTGAGATGCTCTACGATTTACCACAAGGAGTATAAAATGTCTTTAATTCCTTATACTCTGAACATGCTATTGCCTAATTGACATTTGAGAATTTGTTAATTGATATTTCGGATTAGGAAATTTAATTGCCGAATTGCAGTTTTGATAATGTCCTTATAGTCTGACCTAATTGTCCTTATATATATAGATACTTTTTTTATGTTTTCAAAGCAATTTGGGCTCAATTTTCTTTTTATAAAATAAATACTATTATTACTATATATACCTATAGTTTTATTTTTAAAATATGGGCCCCTAAAAATTGGGGGGCCTTGTGCGGTCGCTCATGTTAGACATGCTCACTATTATTACTATATATACCTATAGTTTTATTTTTAAAATATGGGGCCCCCAAAAATTAGGGGGCCTTGTACGGTCGCTCATGTTAGATATGCTCAGAACCGATCCTGATTTGTATATGTGTGTGCATATCTCACCATTAATTAATATTTAAAAAATCATAAAGAAAATGTGTACATGTATTAAAAGCAATAGGCTCATTATTAATATTTAATATTTTAATAATAGTGACAAGGCATAATAAAAAACTGTGTTGAAGGCTTGTTGCCACTATTAGTAAGAAAAGCCGTAAAAATTTGTGTTGAAATCATAGGATAGGATTCAACTAATTTAAAACTTCATTTAGAGATAAGAACATGTTTTGGCAACTAATTTAACCCATCGTTTGTTAGCATTTATCTATTATTTTATATTTATGCTAAAACTATACTATATATACATTATTCCAAAAGGCCGAACCCCAACCCTAAGGGCCCCCCACACCCCGGTCCGACGGAGCATTTGGGAGGATGTAAAATCATGGTGACTCAACTGAACATGAACCATAAAGGCTAGACCGGTGCTCACTACGCACAAGGAGCCCCCCTCACTTTGAGAGAGGTTACTCCCACACTATCACTGGTGAGACTTGATCCTTGGTCATTCTTCCAAAGTTTCACCTCTATGACCAATTGAGCTACCCATGCGGGCTATACTATATATACATATACATATAAAAGATTATCTTCAAAGATTATATATGAGGTGGGAGTGAAGAATGGGAGCAGCTGCCCCCACTATAGCTCAGCTACTGGATTTGAACTCTTGTATAGTTGTATGATCGCTAATCAACCACCTTGAGAATATTTGACAAACCATATCTTCATCCAAGACAAAGAAAACTACTAGTTTTCGTGCAAGGAATGAAGAAACATGTCTTCGTCCTTGGTGGAAGATGCATTTGGTTCATCTTCGTCCTTGCAAGCCACTCTTCATGCAAGGATGAAAGAAAACTAGTCTTCATCCTTGGATGTAGATTCCTTTGGTTGCCAAGGCAGCTTAATAATCTTCTTTGAAAAATATGATGAATTGGCGTCTTAGAACATAGCTTATCAATCAGTTTTAGTTTATTTGATTACTATTAGTTGTTTGACTTGATTAAACATCCAATATAAGTGTTTGATTAATTAATTTTTTATAACAGTTTATTGCTCCAAAACGCTAAAATTCAAAGTAACTTTTTCGATCAACTTTTTGAGAAAGTCATTTTGCATGTAATCAGCTATCAGGTAACAGCTAATTTATCAAACATCTTTCTACAATCAGTTAAAGCTATCAATTAGTCAAACTTACTAACCTAATCAGCTAACAACTATTTACCAAATACCGTCTTTTAATTCCCTAAGCAAAGTGGATGCTTTAATTTGAATATATATATTGTTATACTGTGGTTTTCAAAAAAAAAACAATTAGTATAGCCATAAAATCTTTAAAAAGATACTACATTGTACTCCCTCGATCTGTTCATTTTATCTGTCATACTTATTATGCATTGGTCAAACAAACTCTTTCTTCTTTGTTTATTTTCTTTAGTATTTTTAAAATTTAATTTTTTGTGTTCAGTAGTACTTTTAGTTTAGTTTCTAAATATATAAATTTTGTATAGAGTGAATTCCATTTTTGATCCTATTGTTATAGGAGTTTTTCCAATTTTAGTCCACCATAATTATTTTTGCCACATTGCGTCCACTATTATTAAAAGTGTTCCAATTTTAGTCCACTTTAAGATTTTTCGTGGACTAAAATTGGAACACTTTTAATAATAGTGGACGCAATGTGACAAAAATAATTATGGTGGACTAAAATTGGAATGACCCCTATAACAGTATGACAAAAAATGGAATTCACTCTTTTGTATACTAATACTAAATTTAATATTATAAAAAATTAGATTAAAAATAACTTCAGTGAAGCCTCGTTAACCGAACCAGACACATGAAATGGGACAGGGGAGTAACAAAGTTAGTAGCATTGAAAAAAAAAAAAAAAAAAAAAAAAACTATGCAATTCTATCTTAGAGTTTGGAAAGTTATATGGTATTTAATTTAGCTTGACATGTTGCATAGATTCTATCTTTTTATTAAACTAGTAATTGTCCCGTGTGATGCACAAACTATTATTAATTTAACAAATTTACTAATTAAATTTTTTACATCATCTGAATTAGCAAAGAAAGTAATAGTGCGGAAACTGAAAAATGTACTTGAGTTCTTTTGATTAAAAATGTAAGTATAACTATATATTGGCAAAGTTTTATATTTAATATAATTTGTGTATATATTCATTTAAACCTCAATTATAATTAATTTGACTCCACATATATAAAGAGGAGAAATTAGATATAAAATAAATATAGTTCTTACATAAATAATCCTTTTCAAATGAATAAGTATTTGGTGGAGATTTTTGACAAATATCGCCTGTTATTTTATTTATAAGTTTTATTTAAATACGTTAGTTATATAATTAAAGTAGTTATTTCAAATTCAAATTCTTTTCAAAAAAAAAAAAATTGAATTCAAATAATAATACAAGTAACAATAAGCTTTAAAACCAACATAATAATAGCATAATTAAACTTTTAAAAATATTAAATATTGCATTGTATAGTTATACTTACATTTTTAATCAAACTAATTTTGAGCTTAAGAACTCTGCGTTTTTCTGTTTTCACAACCATTACTTTCTTTGCTAATTTAGAGAATGTCAAAAATTTAATTAGTAAATTTATGATACTAATAATAGTTCGTGCCTCGCACGAGACAATTACTAGTTATATTTATAAAGAAGATAAAAGATAAATTTAGTATAGCCATAAAATCTGTAAAAAGAAAAAGTGATTAATGACATTGAGTACATGAATGTTAACGAGCAATCCATGTATTAAATAAAAAATTATAATAATTAAGATTTCCGTTGGCTTGAGGGCCCAGAAATTTGGAAATTAAACTTATAGCTAGTTCGAATTAGGAAACAACTAACGTCTCTTTCGCGTTCTAGGGTTTGGAGCAAATACTCTTTCCGTTGACTTGAGGGCCAAGAAACTTGGAATATTTATAGCTAGTTCGAATCAACTAAGGATTTAGGAAACAACTAACGTCTCTTTCGCGTTCTAGGATTTGAATCATCCGATCCGCAACTATAATCTTACGGAAATTTCGTCGGAGCGGCGATCGATCGATCTTCAGACAAAGACAAATTTCATAGCCGCTATCAATGGACGATTATTCGGATTATCTCACAAGCTTCACCGTGCGGCCGTATCCTTACGGCGGAGAAGATAATGATCCGTTTCCTTGCGCCGCCGCCTCTTCTGGACCGTCTAGGTCTAACGTTTATGTCCGCTTCTCTCACCACATCGACGACGAGGAATTGTACGAGATAGAGTCGCGAACCATATGCCTGAGCGAAGACGTGTTGGCGGAGGAATCGGGAGACGACTGTCGGAGTTTCATCGTCTCCGAAGGGCTGTGTTACTGGCCGATTGACGCCGAAACCGTGCTTGACATCGCCGACGAGGTGGTCAAGAAAGCGGTGCAGTTTAAGTGCAATCTTCGGGTTGAGATACGGTCGGTTATACGAGGTTCCGACGACGACGCTCAAGAAACGTACGAGGATGATCGAGATTCCGGCGCCGCCTCCTCCGGTGGCGGTTTGGAGGTGAAGTCGTTAAAGAGGAAGAGAATAGCGTGCGATGAGAGGGATAGATGTTGCGTTATTTGCTTGGAGGTGTTAACGGCGGGGATAGATGTGGTGGGTGTTATGCCGTGCAGCCATTGCTCCTTTCACGACGACTGCCTCTCATCTTGGCTCGAGAGAAGCCCTTCCTGCCCTCTCTGCCGTCGCAAGACCGCCGCCGCCGCCGCCGCGGCGTCGGATTCTGGTTGTTAAACAGGATTCCACTATTCATTAGAGTTTGTAATATACTAAAACGATTTTGTTTTTTGATGAAAAATAGAAAATTTATGGACAGCTTTTAAAATTTTGCTTTTACCAACACCAGGATTCAGATTCCATTCTGTGATTACCATTTAGGACGATAACAAGAAGGCAAGAACTGACTATTAATGAAGTTAAAGATTCTACCCATTAATTAAATATTTTGCTCATTAATTAATCAAAGATTCTATCCGTATTATGGAGGTTAAAGATTTTATCTGTGAGAGAGTTTAACACAAATGTTACCCTAACAAGAAATATTATTACACTAAATTAATTTAATATTACAATTATTGTTCTTTACTGTTCAAATCTTAGGAGTGAAGATGAGATTTACTTTAAGGCTGGTCTTCTTTTAAATAAGGATTATCAACTTTTCTATAAATCAAAAATATCAATATTATTGTTATAAGTAAAATCTACCAAAATCTTAAATCATATTTATTTATTACACGATTTATAATGTGCAACTTTCATAAATTTAACTTTATAGTCACTTAGATTTTGGGTTTTTTTTTTTTTTTCAAAACACCAATGTTCTAGCTATACACTTAAATAAGATTTTACTGACGTTTAATTAGATAATTTGAGATTATTAAAGCAATATATATCGTATTAAAACATTGTCGCCTAACAAGTATTTGGTTGGTATTTTTATTATACGTCAAATTAGTCTTATGACTCAGAGTCCTTGCCCAACAATCGCTAGAGAAGGTAATTAGGCGCCTTGCACAAAAAGGAATGGTGAAAGTTCGCTTGTCTTGTGTTTGATTACAATTTTTTTTCTATCAAATTTCGTGGGGAATCCAGGTGTTTGCATTAATGAGAATTTACGCGTTGTAGATGATGGGAGAGAAAAAAGATTTAATGTGTAGAATAATTCACAACATGAAAAAGGACTTAATAACCAAACTGGTAATTTTAGGGATCGACTAAATGTATCACACTATAAATAATTGAAGGACTAAGTTTGTTCAAATTAATTTACAGGGACTAAATTTCTAAAAGTAAAACAATTCAGAGGCCAAAAGCGTTGTTTTTCCTTAATACAAATAGTCTTTTATACTATACAAAATTGAAGTGTATCATTAAAACAATGTTGATTTTAAACTAAAGATTTCATACCAAAATAATACACTTAAAAGTGTTACATATTTACTGAAAAGTATTATCTCTCATTTAAAAGGTATTACATATTTGTTCAAAAGTATTATATTTTCATATAAATTATTACAAATTTGCTTTAAATTAAAGTACTAACTTTTAACACAGTTCAAGAATCTCGGCCGTTCTCGTATTAGAAGAAAAACTTAATTCACAATAAGTACATATTAAAGTACAATGGTTGAAGAGGTTTCTACACAATATACTTGATATTCTATCTATATATTGAAACCTACCTATTGCACTACTCCTACCTGAACTAGAATGGTATAAGTTTCTCCTTATACTTTTCCCTAATTCACAAAAAGTATTGTTTTTTCTTGAAAAATATTACTCCCTCCGTCACATTTTATGTGTTGAGTTCGATTAACGAAGTTTGACTGAAATTATTTACAATTTAATTTTTTATAATATTAAATTTAGAATTAGTATGTAAAATTTATATATTTAGGAACTACATTAAAAGTACTATTAGAGACGCACAAAAAAAAAAAAAACAAATTTAAAAAATTTAAGAAAATGCTAATACAAATAAGGAAAGAATAAAGAGTTGATTTGACCAATGAATAGCAAGTAGAACATGGGGAATATGTTTTTAATGAAATGTATGACTTTTCCTTAAAAAGTACTCCGTATTAGTTTTTGATTGATAAGTATTACATTTTGTGTAGAAAAAATATTAGTTTCCAGTGGAAAATTATTGAATTATGTTTTGGTTTATGATAGGGGAATGGGCTCTGGGCCCAAATTCGACTGGACTTGCGGGATGGAGACCTAGGAATTAATTGGGTCCATATGATGATTGGAACTTATAAATTATAATAGGCTTTGTTTGGTAAATAGCTGTTAGCTGATTGGGTTAATTAGATGGTATAACTAGTTGATAATATTAGCTGATTATAAAAAGGTGTTTGGTAAATTAGTTGTTACTGGATAGCTGTTTAATATTTTCTCAAAAAGCTAATTGAAAAAGTTGCTTTGAGTAGCTTTTTAAATTTTAATATTTTGAAGTACAACAAGCTAATTAACCAAACTCTTTTATTGATTTTTAAACCAAGTCAAACAACTAGTAGTGGTCAAATAGGCCAAAATTAACCTATAGGCTAACTATTTTACCAAACAAGGCCATAGACAAGGTTTGAGTCACTGCATCATCCATTCATATCAGAGACAGTTAAACACACCACATTACTAATAATAAAACCAAACCAGCCTTTCTATAAACTTGTTTTTTGAATACTATATAAAAACAGAAGTCATAATTCCTTGAAACAACAATATATAATGCATATAACTACTTATCTCCTTTTGGAACTTCAAGAATGATGACATCAAATTGATCTGCAAAATGCAAGGAGGAAACAGGAAAGGACAACATTAGACACAAACACAGTATTGCACGTTCGCACCCACTCACCAGGAATTTACAGCGATCAACTGAATATATGGAATTTCAATTGCCCATTAATTTCATACTTGAATGTTTAACAAAAGTGTTGTTTCACCAACAGTTTCACATATAGAGAGACGTAAGAGACACAAAGGATCTACTTGATCGTCTTCAATATATATGCCTAAATAAATTTTTACTTAGGAAATGAATACACAGTTAAATGTGGATAAATTTCTGCATGATTTTTTTTAAAAGTCCTTTAGGCTGAGAATGGCAAATACTTTTATCTTTTTCCTGCTCACTAGCTACAACATTTTTCCACCCAATAAAAAATATACTAAGCAATGTCTCTATAAGACAGTATTTTGATGTACTGATGTGAAAGATATGCAATGTCTCTATAAGACAGTATTTTGAATGTGAATCACATGTGCAAAGGAAATTAAACACCAAATCCCCAATTTCTTTCTATTTCACTTTTTTGGTTGCTTCTTCCATTCTTCTTTCTAGACTAAGGGCAATTTGAATAGGCACTAGGAAATTAACCCAACCGGCAAACAAAATAATTTGCAAGGTCTAACCAACTAAACAGATAGAGAAACTACATTGACAACCAAATTTGAGGAGTCACAAATGAATACTACTCCCTCCATCCTACTTTAATTGCCCCATTTACTGTTTTAATGATCATTTTGACTAAACTTTTGATGCTTCTAAATTCAACTTTTGGAAGTGCAAATTAGATATTAAGAAACTATGCATTAGGTTTGCTAATATCAAGAATCACAACTCAAAATTAGAAGAAATGTTTTAAAACATTAGTCAATTAGTGAATTAGATTGCAAGGATAATGGATTCTCAGAAAGTGAAACTGGATAACCTTTCTGTGACACAGGTATTTATTGTTTTGATTAGTAGCGTCAAACAGATTCAGTTATTGTGCTTCCATTAGAGATAAGGTAGAGGAAACAGTGCTGAGACAATGGAGATTATGGTAGCTAATAAAAGCTGATGGATTGATAGTATCAAAAATCAATGCTTTTACATGGATGTAGGATATGTAGTGGAAACACAAACAATGGAGGTCACAGATTCAGTGGATGTATGGTTAAATGACAAGTAAACAAACTTATTTATTTTCTTAAAAAGTAAAACTATTTAACTTAGTCTCCAGTTTTGTTTATTTTAAATGTGTATGGTATCCTCATATTAAATTAACTTCAATTGATCTCTTCTGGCATATAATAAGGGCATGTAATCAAGAAGATGCTTTAAAAACTTCAAAACACTACATCCAACAAATTCATCATGAAAGACAGTAAACATTTCAGACCCATTACAAAAGCTCAGGAAAATAATAAATTTCAACAAATTGTGCATAACTTGGCATTTTATCAAGTTCACAAAGCCTTTTTATACAGTGTACAGAATAAAGTAGGCATCCCCAGAGTAACAAGGCAAGAACTCCTCTATTGAGAGAGTACAAATTAAACAGAAAATACTAACCTACTTACTTCCCCTTGTTAACTTTGTCCTCAGTGGTAGCCGTAGGAACTGGTTGAATTCTCACATAGGGGTTTCTGGTCAATGTCTCGCCTTTTAAAGCAGCAACATATCTGTCATTTGTATTCTCCTTCCTTTGCAGCTCCCCAAGATACTCTGCTAGCCTTTCTTTATTAACTTTTCCCATCATCTAAAGAGGAAAAGAAATTTGATTAGAAATTGTATACAATAAAATGCAATTAGCTGACAAAAATACAAATGCAAAAGAAGCTTTTCTGAGAAGCCTCAACTCTCTAAAGCTTATTGAAAAGAAGTTTTTTGCCTCTTACTCAACTTTAAAAGCATTTTTCTCATTTCTCCAATACGTTATGGGCCAAACAAGCACTTATGAATTGGTGACTAACTCCACCAGACAAAAATACAAGCTAACACATTCAGCATGACAATGATATCACATCACATATACAGATATATACAAATATACTATAATGCACAATCTACAGCATCTAAACAAGTTGTTTTTAAAACCAAACACAATCGGTTGGTTCAGAAAGTGTAATCATGACTTGGTCCTTCATCCTGTCTGATTATTACACAAAAATAAAATTTGCTACAAGTTCAACAGTCCAACTAATTATGTCATTTAAGCTAAGAACCAGCAGTTCTGCTGGTTTGCAAATTAAGTGTTCTATAAACAAGTTATACGAACGAAAGGAAAACACATTGTTCTAGAGCACGAATGAGTAAACCAGTAGTCATAGAATAGTCAGATATAATGCCTCTCTGTGAATTAAAAATATCATCTTTACAGTTTCAGCAGACCTGACACTCATCCAGTCATCCTAGAACAGCAGCAGCTATTGTTTTAAACTGATTTCACATTTCCTTCTCAAACACATGTTTTGGTTGAACCTTCCCAGACTAGACCCGAACCCACTACACTAATCAAATCCTAAAGTTGGAAAACTACGGTGTTTCTCAAATTACAGAAGGGCATCAAACGAAATCCCTAAAAATTTTCCAAGTAAGCAGCGGATCAGTTATACGGAGAAATGAAAGGAACTTCAAGAATCAAACGGGATTTATTACTACTAGCAATATCCTAGGGTTTCATTCGTTTGATTAATCAGAGTTATAGGTATAGAAATTGGGGATGACGGAAAAGGGATTTGTCTTAGCGGGTAGAGAGGCAGACGTACGAGGCTTTCGGGGCGAGCATCGCGGCGGAGCTGGGCTTCGAGATCAGGATTGCGGGAGTTGGTAAGCTGCATGACGGTGTATCCAATAAGGCCCGGAATGACGCCGCACACGGTGGCGAATGTGAAGAAGAAGGACTTGGAATCCCTGGTCTTCATAACTAACCACCTCCATGTCTGGCTCTTCTCCCATAGAATCGACATCTCTGTGTTTTGCCGTTCTAGAGTGCTGTATAGGAGGACTATGGGAGTAAACGGCAGGTCTGAATAAAGAAGAGGCTATAAGCCTATAACCGCATGTTTAGCGAGTGGAATGTTCTTTTAATATACTAGTATGGTACCCGTGTGATTATACTAGTATGGTACCCGTGTAATGCACGGTCTAAACATCATACTTTAATAATCTAATATGTTATTGTAATAAACAGATCGATTGAATATATGATAATAAATTACACATATAACATCACAACAGGTTATTATTGAATATTACAATACCAAACCAAAAAAGAATATGAACTTTGCAAATTAACATTTTATTTACAAAGTAGTGGTTGAAGTATAACTTGATCTTATCAACTTGGACATTTTGGTTTGAAAATTTGTAAATGTACACAAATAATTAAAGAATTATGTAAAGATTCATGTACATAGTTGATTTATCTCCAACAAAGGTATGGAGAAAGATTATATATAACTACGCTTTCTGCATGAAAAGAATGCCCATTTGCATGGCTGAATAAAAAGCCCTTTTCTTTACCTTTCTTACTTTACCTGCATAAAAAAACACTACAAAAGTTAAATTATATTTGAATCCTATTTGAAGTCATGTCAAAGATTTATTAACATTAACATTGATGGGGTAAGGACCCCGGCCCAAGAGATAGAGGCCCAAAGAAAATAGAAGTGGGTCAGCATCGGGAGGAGCCCAAAGAGCAATCGGGCCGAGTCCAGGAGTCGGCCGAGGCCCAAGCCCAGGAAAAGACCCGGCTCGAGGAGCCGTTGAGGGCATTAAAGGGGTTCCTTTAAAAGAGAGCCGTTGAAGCATTAAAGGCAGGACCCGGTCGGGCTGTTACAAGCCTAGGAGAGTCGTTGGTCGACCGAGTAATGGCGTCCAACGACTCCATATCTTGATTAGCCTTGAAGTCGGCCATTAAGAGCCTTCAAGTCGGCAGAGGAGGAGCCACTATATAAAGGCTCCTCCATTCTTGTAAAATGTAGACATTTTCGGACACCCGAGAGAGGGGGGAAATAACAAAGAAATTCCGAAGCACTAGCATTACCTCTGAGTTAGACGTACATTTTATCGAGAGGTGTATCCACCGACCAAAGGTTGTGTTGGACCTCCTTGGGCCCGAAAACCCTAAAACCATCACTGGCGCCGTCCGTGGGGATCGAAACGAAGAGTCACGTAGCCTCTTGAGTGAGGCGAGTCCGAGGAACGACAGTTAGAACCTCAGTCGAATTAGGAAAACTCCAGACATGGCAGGAAGCGAGGAACAGTCGAGCCGTCATGACAACGGACGGGAGGCCGACCTGAGAAGCCAGCTGAATCGGAGAAGCGCTCGGAGCCAGGAAAACGAGACGACACCGCCACCGACGCCGCAGATAAACCGGCAATTGACTCAGGTGCTGCTCACCCCGGAGCAGTTACGCGCAATCGGACGTGCCTGCGCCGAAGCAAGCCTAGGAGTGAGAGAACAGTCCGTCACCCGCCAGCCGCAACGCGAGTTGCAACCGCCTCAGAGGCCCGACAACCGGCAATTGAGCCGACGGGCTGAAAGCCAACCGGTACAATCCGTTCATTCCCGGCTGGGTCCCAGCGTTGGGCGTCGGTCAGCAAGAGAACGATTAGGCCGGAAGGAGCCCAGTCGTGCCCCACTAGCCGCCCGTGATCAACAAGCTGCACGAGAGAAGAGCCGAACCAAAAGAGCCAGGACTGAGACTCGTCGCGTGGAGCAACCCCCCGCAACCCCGTCGTACCGGCTGAGTCTGAAGTCGGTGAGAGCACGGAATCCACGGGAAATCGCACCCGGGAGAGAGTCGAAGTGGCAAACTTAGTACAGGAGGTGCGAAATCTGAAAGAACGGATGGAGGGGAAAGCCAAGTCCCCAGGACGTACGTTGCTGACCGCCTTACCCTTTTCGGACGAGGTTATGGCTTTTAAGATACCGAGTGACTTCAAGTTCCCGGAGCAAGCCACGTTCGATGGAATCGGCGATCCCCGTGAGCATTTGCTGAGCTATCAGGCTAAGATGCAGGTTTTGGGGGTACGAGATCCGGTCATGTGTCGCGCTTTCTTACCCACGTTGAAGGGGTCAGCACAAAGGTGGCTGGTGGCGCAGCCCTCAGGGTCGATTCACAACTTTGAAGAGCTGGCAGACCGCTTCATGAGCCATTACGCCGCTAATATCAAGCCACAAAATGACCTAACTCACTTGGGTGACATCCGTCAAGACGAAGGCGAATCTTTGAAAACCTATTTGGCCCGCTGGCAGAGAGAAATCCAGTCCATAGAGGAGGTCGAGGACCAGACAGCGCTCACCTTCTTCATCGAGTCGCTGCGGTCCGGCCAGCTGTACCGAGACTTGAGGGACAATCGTCCGGCCACCTACGCAGAAGCCATTCATATGGCCAACAAGAGGGCCAATACGGAGCAGGCTATGAAGTACAAGCGACAGCGCGAAGTCGGCGGATCCGCCAGCGGAAAGAGGACGCGAGCGGAAGCCAAAGAAAGGCACCCGGACGTGGCTCGGCGACCCGAAGTTAGACGGCCGTACGACCGATCAGTGGTCCACGCTTATCGGCCGATTCCCGATCGTCCGGTCCACGAGGTACAAGCGGTTGCCCCGCCTCCGCCTCCGCCTCTGCCGACCGACGATCGCGCGACAAACGAAGAGGTGGGTAAGAACTCTAAGTATTGTCGTTATCATAAATCTTATACTCACAGTACGGAGGAGTGCTTCTACCTGAAGAAGATCATGGAGGGTATCATCCAGCAAGGAACCCCGCCTCCTAACCAATAGAGGCGGAGGCCGGGCAGTCGAAGGGATGAGGAACCCGTCGCCGTTGCCGAAAGCAGTCGAGGCAAGCAGCCGGTTCCCGAAGAGGAGGAGGCTCAGTGGCGCCAGAAACCGGTTATCAACATGATAGTCGGCGGGCCGGAAGGTGGTGATTCAGCGAACACCAGAAAAGCTTGGGCCCGGCAGTTGTACGTTGGGACAGTGTACGGGCGTGAGGAGAACTCTAAAAAGGTGTGTCGAGAGCCCATCGTGTTCACCGACAGAGACTTACCAGCCGGAGAAATACCGCATCGAGATGCGTTGGTTATAGCCATGGACGTCAACGGCATCGTCGTTCGGCGAATCCTGGTGGACACCGGGAGCAGCGTCAACGTGCTATATCTAGAAACCTTCACCAAAATGGGGCTGACTCGAGAACAGCTGAACCCCGTCAAAACTCCCCTCGCCGGCTTCACAGGGGACTCGGTGGAGGCGGAGGGGTCAATCACACTTCCAGTTGAGATTGGCACGTACCCGGACGTACAGAGACTCAGCATGAAATTTATTGTGGTAAACCTGGCCTGCTCGCATAACGCTATACTCGGCCGACCGGGTCTTGAGGATTTAGGGGCTTTGATCTCAATTGAGCATCTCTGCCTGAAATTCCGCACACCAAATGGAGTAGGTACGGTGCGCTGTGACCGAAAGGTCACCCGCGACTGCTATCTGCAGGCATGCAGAGGGATGGGCAAACGCGAGATGCAGATCCATGAGATCACTGAGAGGCCCCCGAAGAAGACGATACTACCTCGCCCAGAGCCTGCTGTCCAGTTGGAGGAAGTCGAGATCGACTCTACGCAACCGGACCGACGGGTCCGAATTGGAGTCGGCCTCTCTGAGACATTGAAAAAAGAAATTGTAAAGGTGCTCCGAGAGCACCGGACGGTTTTCGCCTGGGGCCCCGAGGACATGCCTGGTGTCGACCGATCAATCATATCGCACAGACTCGCCGTGGATCCGGAGCACCGACCGGTCGTACAGAAGAAACGATACCTGGCCAACGACCGGAGGGAATTTGTGAAGAAGGAAGTCGGCACGCTACTAGCGGCCGGGCACGTCCGCGAGGTTAAGTACCCGGAGTGGTTGGCAAATGTGGTCCTCGTACCCAAGCCCCCGACGTGGCGAATGTGCGTGGATTACACCGATCTTAATAAGGCTTGTCCGAAAGACCCGTTTCCCCTACCTCGGATCGACCAGTTAGTCGACGAAACGGCCGGGTCGGCGCTATTGAGTTTCATGGACGCCTTCAGAGGGTACCACCAAATATTTATGCACCCGGCGGATGAGGAAAAAACCGCCTTCCTGACACCGGACGGAGTTTACTGTTACCGAGTCATGCCCTTCGGACTTAAAAATGCCGGGGCTACGTACACCCGAATGGTCGCCCGGTTGTTCCAACACCTGCTTGGGAAATCGATGGCTGCGTATGTCGACGATATGCTCGTCAAGAGCCGGGAAGAGGACAAGCATGCGAAGGACCTGGCCGACTGCTTCAAGGTAATGATGAAATACAACCTTCGGCTGAACCCCAAAAAGTGCGCGTTCGCCGTCCAAGGTGGCAAATTATTGGGCTACATGGTCACCAAACGAGGCATCGAGCCTAATCCGGAGAAGGTACAGGCCATCATCGACATGCAGCCTCCTACAACCGTCAGGGACCTACAACGGTTGACTGGCCGATTGGCCGCCCTTAGCCGCTTCTTGAGCAAAGCGGCGGATAAGACCGTGCCTTTCTTCGAAGCCATGAAGAAGAAGGAGGGATTCGCTTGGACTGCCGAATGCCAACAATCGTTCGAGGAGTTGAAACAGTACCTCTCAACGCCCCCAGTGCTGTCTACCCCCCAGGTGGGCGAGCCCTTATTCTTGTACCTCGCCGCCTCAGCCAAAGCAGTGAGTTCGGTGTTGGTCCGAGAGGAGGACCGAGTCCAGCACCCGGTTTATTACGTAAGTCGCTCGTTGAAGGCCGCTGAGACGCGGTACACCGTTCTGGAAAAGGTTGTGTATGCGTTGGTAGTCACCGTGCGCAAGCTGGCACCCTATTTCCAAGCCCATACCGTTCGAGTTTTGACAGACCAGCCGCTCGGAAGCGTGCTAAGAAACCCCTTGTCCTCCGGTCGACTTGTAAAATGGGCCGTAGAGTTAACTCAGTATGGGATTGAGTACCAACCCCGGCCTTCCATTAAGGGTCAAGCCTTGGCCGAGTTCCTGGTCGAATGCACGGCAAGTGAGGAAGAAAAGGAACAC